ATATATTTATATATATAACGTAGATCATACTAAATTTTATAACACAATAATCTAACATTTAATATTGTGGTTGAACAATTTAATTAATTCATGCTAGATGGTGTTAGATTTGGTAGTCTAGACTCTAGTGTACTCAGACTATTTTTGTTGTTAATATTTTCATTAGTGTTAGGCTTTTAAATAAAACCTTGACATTTGAACATCAAAATTAATAAGAAAGACTATATATAAGAGATCTCAAGTTTAAAATTAAGTGAGTCATCATAAATAATAGCCCGATTTTCATAGGTGAATTGAAAATAACTATTTTGAAAAGTCTAATTTCTCATGAAAAGATATCTCTCTTGTCTTTGGGGTTAGTTTACGGCCGTTGGCTTGCCTCGAATAAAATCCATCCAAGAGGAAATATCTAGTGCCAATCTGCAAGCCGCATAGACAGGTAGACAGAGAGAGAAGAGATATGGGGCTGGCCTCAACCCCCTTGTTTCCAGCATCAGCATCACCATATTTGTCAGAACCCCATTTCACCGCCGCCTTCACTTCTCTACTTTCATTTCCACTCCTCAATCTGTACGTTCTTTCTATTTATAATAATATTTCTTATTGTTTTTTCTTTCCAGTTTTTGAGCATTTTGCTGCTTTAGCCCTCAAATGGGATTTCAATTTATAATTACTTACTCTTTTGATTATTATGTTCTATGTGCTAGTTGCCCTTTATGGCTAACCTTTTTGCACATTGGGAAAACTGAAGACTAAATTACTTTCTAAATAATTCCTATAACTGGGAAACTGGAACACACATGATAGTTATCTGCTATTTAGACCCGTTATGTGTATCATGGAATCTATGGTAACCGTAAGTTATGTACATATGTCACCTAGATTTACAGTTTAAAAACCATCAATCTATTTATTCTAAACATAAACGAGAAAAAAAAAAAATCTTTATGCGTAACATGTGTATATTTTTGTATTTTCTTAGCATTAGCATTGAAACTTTCAATGAAACATGATGATTAACCCTTAAAAATATTTTTGTATTTGCTTAGATAAAGTTTGTATTTTTTTGACAGTATGGTCGAAATTCATATAGTTATATTGGTCGCTACTAGTGAAGATGGTATTTTAACTGCCTCTGATATGTTTGTTGATATTGTTGACCTCTGTGATAATGCTGGTGAAGTATGCTGTTTCAGTTTTGACTTTTTGTTATGATTATGCTGGGATGGATAAGGGAGTTTATTTTTCCATGTTATAGTAAAAGAAATGATTTAATTGTCCTGCGAAGGAAACTATGGTTTAAATGCTTGCCTTCAAACTTCAGTGAATGAAGGTCACCTGTGACAGTACTCATTTGACAGTTTGTCTGAATTTTGCCTGAACGGCAGCAAGTTATACCAGAGTCATTTAAGTAATGCTAAACATGCAAATTCTTATATACAAATTGATATACATACTATTTATTTTCATTAACTGTACTGATTTTTCCCTTTTAGCTTTCCATTCATTATGTGCTGCATAGCTTGTAAAATAAAGTTTTTAAGTGTAGTACTACCTGTGTCATCTTCGCCTGACCTCTCACACACACACGAAAAAGGTCTCTGTTAAAATTGGCTATCGCCTTTCTCTCTGGCAACCTTCACATACAATGTCATCCACCACAGCTTTCTTCGCTGTGTTGACACTAAGACTCAGTGCCATGAACATTGTGCTCCAACAACAAAATCCTCCTATCATTCAAGCATCACAACCACATTTTAACATAAAACCAGTGCAATTTGACCCACCATTAATTATTCCTTGTTGTTTACATCATTGCAGTGCAATTTGACCATAACATTAATTATTCCTTCTTGTTTACATCATTGCAGTGCAAATGCATGCAATAAAATTCCACTTAGTAATCATCAAAATCACTAACACCTCATGTTCTAAATTTATTATATTAATGTCTTTATTATTAAAATAATATTCTTCAAAAGAATATATAGGAAATATTATTCTTCAAATATAATTTACTACAAATAAATCATGAAGACCTGGATATAACCCTTATGTTATTGCAAGGTTCCCTCATGTGTACGCAATGTTGGTTAGTTTAATCTTACTTACTCTATTATTTGTACAATATTTTCTCAGATTGCTGGGAAAAACAAGTTTTATATATGCAATCGTGTTTCATACAGATGAACTTTATATGAAAATTATTTATAGTGGAACTTTTTCTTAATTGGTTTTTAGAAACTTATAGCTTCTGACTGTGAAGCTTCAGTTTTTGTTCAGAGGAAATGCAATATAAATTTTACAAAATGGCTACAAGGAATACAATGTTCAAGTATCTGTAGTGCAGTGGAAGTGGAAGATGACATAAATGACGAAGCATGTAGTTAGTTAGTGGAGCGGACTTTCCATTGGGGAGGGTCCTGACTGCATTCAAGTTATATCCTTCAAGCAGTGAAAAAACAATGGACTGGTGTTCTTTTGCTTTCTGATATTTTTGGTTTTGAAGATTCTTCCACCAGAGACTTTGCATATCTGTTTGCTTGCAATGGATACAAGTATGCTGCTTAACCTTGAAATATTATATGTATATCCATTTTCACATCTTCTGCCTTGTGAGCAACAACAGTCCTGTGTTGAAAACTCTGTTTGTTGTTGATCAACGTGCATGCATGTTTCGATTTCTCCTTTTTCATAAATTTCGGTTTGGGTCTGTTGGTGTCAATTTATATCTTAAAGGAGAAATTTTGTGTACATTGATGGTCGAGGAGTATTTCAGTTTCAAAGAGATTTGTATGGAGAATATGCAAGTTCACAGGAAATTGTGAAGCTTGTCAAGAATCACACCATGATTGCAGCAGTGACTTCTTATAACAAAGATGACTATTAATTGAAATATTCTCAATTACTCCTTTAAAGAACAAGTTGTTCAGCTAATTGACCTTGTGTTCTCAACTGCTTCCTAATAGAACAAGTCACTAGAAAGCTCAAGGATGAGCTTGTTGGCTGCACTTTAAAATAGTGAAATGCTGCTATAGTTGAGGGAAGATATTAATAATGGGCCTAGAAGGACGCTCAAGGCCAATCACCAAATAGAGGTTTATATACCCCTTCACCAATACCTTTTAATGCCTTAGTAGCATGTTAGCGTGGGTTTTGTTTCAAGCTGGTCAGCAAGATATGACTTAATATAGGTAGTTCATGCATTTATAGAACGACAGAGTTCATTACATGTCCTCATAGTAGAGTGTATTTTGATCAATTAATTTAAACTTCAATGAGGTGATTAGAGTACATAAAACTCCAATATCCACATGCTGATCATGACGTGAAGTTTATGATTCATTTTGAAAGAACTTGGTAGAGAAAGCTTGGCACTATGTTAAAGTATGCAACAAGATAGACTAAGGTTATTAGTTGTACCCTACGAAATCTATTAAGGTACTTTATGAAGTACTATATTACAAAATAGGGTCAATTTTCAGCACAAGTTGATTTGCTTATAATAGTACTAACAACCATACTACAATTCGTTCTCCTTTGTGGCTGGTCACAGATGCTCTCTAGACCGTGTGTTAGACCTAGTAACTTACAAAATGACATCAGGTTACTATTGAAAATGAAGACATGTTGTCAAATATTGCAAGAAGATCTAAACAATGTCTTTCTTTTCTACAAGACAAGATCCATAATTCTTGATGTAATTTAACAATTAGTCAATCATTAATAAATTTAATTTAAGCAGGGTTAGCACCAAAATATCAAAGTAAAGAAGAAAGTTTTAGCAAAATGCCATTGTGATAAGACAAATGGTGTAAACGTAAATTAATAATATAAAAGGAATAAAGCTACTATACCTTTTACGTTCACATAATTTTATTTATTTATTATTCTAATTTTTGAAACAATAAATAAATTATATATAGCACATGGTGGCACAACCCTAGTACAAACTATGCATAATGTAATTGCAGAAAATGAAGGAAAAAATGGGGAAATTTTATTTAAAAAAATCATGAAGGTTGAGAATCCTTTAGAATGATAAGCAAATACAAAACAACAATTTAACAAATCTTTCTCCATTTCTTTGATGTTAATACAATAATCTAAACGTCTGACATGTTAGAAAACTTAAAACAGTAGATAAGAGATGTTATCATTCTATTTATGAAAGTAATTTTCGTATATAAATTACTATAAATTGTTTAGGTAAGATAATATTTATTATTAATTATTTGAATGTGGTTCACAAATTTAGAGGATCCATTCATATATATTTCGTAGTGGGTTGTACCAGTTGCAAGTGCCATTTGTTGTGACTTTTAGAAACTAAGATCTAGCAGTTTCTTACTTGCATAACGTGATAGAGGGAGCAGAAGAATAATTAGAGAGATAATCAAGAATTAGGGAGACACGAGAGAATTTAGATAGGTTGGAAGGAGATATTAGGAGAAGAGGTACCAAGAAACTCAAGAAATATCAATAATTAACTTATTCATCAACTCACTCTAATATTTCCCAGACACACAAGACTTATTTATAAGCTTGGCAAACCAAATCCTCATGAAAATAAGAATTCTTATAATTCTAATCCTAGAAAAGCAATGAATGAAATTATAATCCTAATCCTAATCCTAATTAAACAATAAAATAAAAGACTAAATCAATTCATAATTGAAATAAAACTCTAAAACTACTAATCCTAAAAATTATATATTCCTCCTACATCACAATGTCAACCCTAGTCCTCAGATTACCATTTTTACTTCCTTATTCTAAGAAAAGTACTATTTTTTCTACTCTCAGTACTTTAACATTTTACTTAATGGATTAAACCAAATCTATATGATAAGTGTCTAACTTACTTTCGATTGTATTAATTTCTCATAGATGCTGAATAATCTTGTGATACAAAAACATCTAAACCTTTTTAGCAAAAACATACTGATACTAATTGCACAAAACCTATACAAGCATGCATGGATTTTCAGAGTAAATTATTAACTGAGATACAAAATACTACCAAAATTACTTGCATGGTTTCTCAGTGCCTTAACTGTAATATAAACACGGGCTCTGATGACAAGAGGAAGTGATCTCTGAGGATCTACCAGTTCCCGTAACAATCTCCGCAGAAGAAAAGGAAGGTCTTGCATTCTCTGAGAACAGGATAAAGCATCTCAAAGTTATAATTGTTAAAATGCTACTTACAATGTGGAACTCATCATAAATGAATGAAAAAGAAGTTTTGCAAATAGTATTCCAATGCCAATCAACCCCTTCATTACAAGAATTAAGAACAATTCAGGAACATTTAAAAGGAGTTTGTAGAAATTAACTACGAATTAACAAAAACCACATAAGTTAGCATAAAACATTCCAGCTTCTTAAAAAGCAATAATTACACCTGATTAGACTAGATGGAAGAAAGAGCAAGGAATTAATAGAGAAATATCAATGGTGGCAAGTAGATCCAAATAACTGACTAGTATCTTTTAGAGGTTGTCATGCTCTACGTAAGTCAAAATTTGAAATGCAACTATTTTATAGCCGAACAATAGTACCATAGATTATTTAAGTAGCAAATGCAAGATGAACATAAATTTCAGTAAAACTCACAAATCTCTTCTTTAAAAACCAGTACTTGTACATCAAATTACAATTCAGCAGCACAGTTCAGATATAGGTTTGGAACTTATAAATGAAGTTGAATCTCCCTGATCTTCAGATGGTTTGTGCTGAAAAATCATAGGCATCACCTCCAGATACTTTTTTGGGCAGTTGAAAAGAATCCAATTTCAGAGAACCAGAAAATAAAGTTATGCAGACAAATGAAGAGCTGCAAATTATCATAGGAAACGGGACAACTAACTGAAAAACTAAACAGTCATTTGGCAAGATCTGAGTAGGAACTTAATAATTGAGATGGAATGGCTAATGCAGAATGGTTTTTCTTGAAAGCAATCATGTGGTAGTTGGAACTTGAGAGAAAGGGGTTTCTTTTCAGAACCCCATTGATGGGTTAGTTGTCCAGCTTCTTCAAACTAACCATAAGTCTTTATGCTAGCTTAAACTGCGTTTATAAAGCTATGGAGAATGCAGAAACTGTTCAAACTCCGTCAAGTGTATGCCATGCCTCCTACACGTGTGATGCGTCCATTCACGAGTACAATGCTCAAGGCCAGCGGCCCTGCTATAGTTTTGTTTCTACAGTTTACACTTTCTTACATTACCATTTAAGTCGGAACAATAAATCCAATTCTCCGCTCTTTTTATCATATCAAGTCGTTCTACTGAAATTTAGCCTATAAATTTTTATCAATAAATAAACACTAACATTAAAAAAAAAAAAAAAAAAAAAAAGGGTGTGTGGCAATCAAACTGCCCCAATAGATATGAGAAATGTGCCATTTATAAGCCTAAATATCAATATCTACCAAAAATTCCCAACTTGAAAGAGGAGAATGAAAGACTAAAGTATCTGAAATGGGAATACTTGGTATGAAAAATAATAGTTTAGTACCTGGATAAGACCATTGGTGCGGCCCCCAAAAAGGCGATTGTAAGTTTCAAGCTGTTGCAGAGTGTTAGCAACAGAAGGGTTATGACGATCACTTACTGAAGCCTGAGTAGGAACCAATAAAGTAATCTGACGACGACATAAAGGGCATTTACATGGTTGAAATGTGGATCCATGTTGCCAAACAAGCATTATGCAGTTACCTAATCAAATAATTATTAATTATAATACAAATGGTATAGAAGAAGATAAAGAAAGAGAGAGAGAGAGAGGGAAGGCACCGCAAAACCAGTGAGAGCAGTTGGCTTGACAAGGAACGTTGAAGTTTCCATGGCAAACCGAGCAAAAATCATTCTCTGCAGGTCCATCCATTCTTCTTCTTCTTCTTCACTCTTTCTTTCTATCACTACCAATCAGATCTACCTTTCTTTCTTTTGGTTAAATCACACCGTTTCTCACAAAATTTCTTAACTAACGGCATTACGGCAAGGATCTCTATAATAGTTTCCACAGTTTTGTGGGTCTAATGAATTTCCAGAGTACAGGGTTTGGGTGGATAAACCCAATCGTATTAAATTGGCCGAACGAATGCACCCACCCCTAGTTTGCTATAAAGACATTGGGTACCCAAAAAGTTTGAAAACGTCAATTACCTACCTTTCGTCCAAATCTGTTAGTAAAATCCATTTAAAGAAAGATAATATGATAATTTTATATCCAACAAAAAAAAATATAACATTCTGCATTGGTCACGTGTCCATTTTCTCTCTTTAATATTAATTTTATAAAAATCTTCCTTTTCAATTTTAATTATTTTATTTTTATAATTAATTTTAATTAAAATTCCGTCTTCATCTTCTTCGTCTCTCGCCAAAACCACAGTCGCCAGAACCAGGACAACAACCAGCAAAAACGACCAAAGCCCCAAAAAAACCTCACTCAAATCACCAAAAGATTCAATGCAAAAAATCCCCAAGAACCACTCTCAAACACTCAAAAGAGCCAAAACACGCAAGGCATAGAAGGGTTGGGGCAAAACCTCAAACAAGTGGTGTTCCAAAACTTGGAAAATCAATCATCAATTCCAAAACCGATCAAAAATCCCCAAAAATCAAACAAAAACACAGAAAAAACACTCCCAATTAATCTCCAACCATCAATTTCCCATTAGAAACTCCGAAAAACATCAATCAATCTCAATTCAACAAACAACAAAAACCCTAGGAATTCAATCGACGGTGAAATGTGAGCAAACGGCGATGGGAAAAATGGGGGTTTTGGTGATGGCACACCGAAAAGACGATTGGGGGGGAGAGGAAAGGTTTTCGATGATCAGGCTTTCAGAAAATGGGTGGGGAAGTGCAACAGCTTTGCAAAAGACCCCCCTTTTTTTTTGCCCTTTTATGAGAGAGATGAAGAAGATGAAGACGGGAAGAGAGAGAGGAGAGAGGCTTTCGATCTGGCCAGCTTCTAGTCCATTTTCCGATGTCGGGTTCTTGCCTGGTGACCGGAGGAAAAAGAGGGAGAAGAAAGGAAAGAAAGAGAAGGGAAAGAATAAGAGAAAGTGAAGAGAAAAAGAAGGGGGAGAAGAAGAAGAAAGATAAGAGATTTTGACGGATTTTTTTAATTTTTGATTAATGTAATTTTTTTCAACTTTTTTTATTTTTTTATGCACAAACCTTAAGACATAAAAAGTCAAAATTACCCTACAAAAATGATAAAATATCGATAATACCATTTTAGTTAACAGATTTACTAACGGATTTGGATAGAAAGTTGGTATTTGTCATTTCAAAACTTTTTGGGTATTAATTTGTCTTTACAGAAAACTCTGGGTAGGTGCATGTCATTCCCCCTATTAAATTAATCTATACACACATTTCAATCATATTAATTAAATTAGCTGAGATTTGGGGTTTTTACGGTAAACCCCCTTATTTCTATAGAGTTTTTTAAAACCTCTAGTATTTTGATACGACCTTAACCGCTATTTCATTAGTTTCTTCGTTAAATTTAACTGATATTGAGGTAATATGGATATTTTTAAATTATAGAAAAGGTAATTTCGACTTTAATAGCTTTAAGAAATATTAAATTCTATCCAATCTAATTTTTTCCAATTCATTCCTATAATGCAAAGAAAAAAAGTAAATAAATAAACAAATAAAATCCACCGGCTACACTAAACCCACCCTAAACTCTCGAGAAGAAAGAAAGCATTGATCAAAGTCCAACCCCACGTTCTCCTGGTGTTTGGGCTAGACCAACTATCCAGTAGTTGTGGCCCAAGTGACCTCGTACTTAGCAAGATAGGATATCAACCGCCAAATTGTGTGAGCAAGAAATGAGTTTCTCATGTTCCTTCTTTCTCAATGCTACCTTAAAACTTGCTACTCCTCACCTCTGTCCCTTTTCTGCCAAGTCTATCTCCAAAAAACGACTCCGTTTCTCCTCCAATGCAACCTCCCTAGAGCTCCCGCTTCTTCCTTTCAACACCAACGAGGTGAACTCTTCTCTTTCTTCACGTATCTTCAATATTATTGAGCCTGATCAATTTTATTAATTACTATTGCATTTGCGACTATTTCTGATATTATCAAAACTAAATTTAGATAACTTCACTTTATTATGTTTGGTTTGTACATATAAAAGTTTATTTATTTATTTTTTCATTTTAAATTACTCTTAATGTTTAGTAAATAAATTTTACCTGTTTTAGGGGGGGGGAAAAAGTGCTTTATCAAAGCGCTTTTTTCTAGCACGATTGATTTCTACCTTTTCTTTTACTTGAAATTATTATTGTATAAAAGTATAAACTTGTTGTAATGTGAAACTGAATTCTTTATTTATTTATTTATGTTTATGGTTTCAGGTTCTTGTTCCATCGGAGAGTAAAATATTGCATCTATATGAGGCCAGATATCTAGCTTTGTTAGAGGAGGTACTGGATTTTTATATCATGTTTGATGTTTAGAATTAAGTACATTTTTTTAATTAAAAATTATGATAAAACTATGTACATATTTGATGATTAAATAATTTCGGAATATAATTTCTGTTGGCTTCACTCACGAATGTTTCTTGAAACTGAGCGAGGATATAAGATGCTATTTGCTTGATATATTACTGCTGTTTGGTCTCCCCTCACCCATTTGGTCCATCTTTTATGATTTGGATGGCCAAAGTGCATTTTTCAACTTCTTGCATGGATGTTTGCTCATGGCAGGGTTAACGCCTCTGAATATCTATGAGACATGCATGCATTTGCTTGTGGCATCGTAGGTGCAGCATCCTTGTGGTGTTAAAAACTCTCTTTTAAAGCAAAATGTAGATTATAATTTTTAACCACATTGATGTGGTATGTATAAGAGGCAGGGGAGGATGAATCAGTAATCATATTTTTCTTCATTGTTTTTAAGTTTTCACTTGTGCTTTTCAAGTTGCTAGGGCGATTTAGATCGTTTCATTCTCTAGTCATTAAGAAGCATTGAGGATTTGGTCAAGGAAGAAGTTTTGTGCTGTGCAAGTGTATGGTTATAGCTTTTTTTGGGTAATTTGGTTGATAGGAATCAAAAACCTATTTGAGGATACGGAAGTAGATAAGCAGTATTTCTGAGATAAAGTTTGATTTGGCACCACTTTGGGCTTCCAGTTCAAAGGAAATTAAGGAATTACTTTCTATTTCAATTATTTGGCTTGAAATGTTGTTTGCTTTGGGTAGTTGGATGTTCTCTTATTGTTTTACATATGTTTTATTACAAGTTATGGTCGACAGTTTGCTTATATTACTCTTTATCTTTTATTTTTATTTTAGCACTAGATTGTATTTTCTGCATTTCTATATTCATAAAGTCCGTATTTCTTTCCTGCCTTACTCCTTTACCTTTGTAAGGCTTGGTAGGGGTTGGACTTCTTTGTATTTTTGCACATTAAATACATTTTTATTCTCACTGGAAATTTTTTCTTAGTGTAATTTAATTATTCTCATAAAAACTTCTAATTACTGTTGAAACAGTAGTAACTAACAATAACTTTTTTTTTCCTCTCCATTTTATTGGCTGCAGTCTTTATTGAGGAAAAAGCTTTTTGTGCATGTTGTGCTGGATCCTATTGCTATTAGTGAGTCAGCAGCTGAAGCATCATTTGCTGCTCGATATGGTTGTTTGGTTCTAATAGAAAATGTAATTTTCCTAATTTGTGATAACTTTTAGACATTAAAAGATAGAGTGGTTTATAAAAAAACTTAGTTTCTGTACTTGCAGTTAGAACGCTTAGATGTTGGAGCTTTAGTCACTATAAGGGGAGTTGGTCGTGTCAAGATCATCAGTTTTGTTCAGGTGAATAAAATTTTGATTTGAGATTATAATTGCCCTTCTTTTGTTAACTTATTGCCATGCATTGTTAGACTCATTTCTGTTTTTTATTTATGTCTATCTAGAAATTTTTGCTTCATCTGTTGGCTGGCCAACTTACATTGGTTATTAATTAGTTACATAATCTTCCATTATCATGTTCTCGAATTTTCAACAGATGGCCTTTTTTTGTTTGGAATAGCATAACATCAAACTAATTGAATTTATTCTAGTCCAATTTAAGTCAGCCCGACAATATTAATAAAACCTTGAAGATGGAATAAGACTGTGTTGAAGGACCAAGTTTCAAGTTTTGATTACAAATTATTGGAAGAGTGTCTTCATGCTTCAAGCTTTGCATCCTCTTTAGCCATTTGCTGCAAGTCCAACCAAAAAGAAACAGATATCCATCTTGGTGTACATCCACTCTTAGACCTTCTAATGCTCATGGAGAAAAAGAGAGAGAGAGAGCCATCTTAATCTACAGCCACTCTGGGACTCTCTTATGCTTTGGTAAATTATTAAAACAAGGATAGTTGGATCTTGCTTCAGGAAATGAACGCATTCATTATGAGACAAGGTGAGTAAGTGAAGTATTAAATGGGAATAATGTAAGAATATGGTAGCGTCCACATCTAGTTGGCTTGACTTTTGCTTTAATATCAAGATGATCCCAACACAAATCAATGAAGATTTTAGAAGACAAATAATTTATTTGAGATGTCAGTGGAATATAGTACAGTTATTTCAGTTACTTTGAAGAACTGAATACAACATTTTTGTTGTGTACAAGATGCACTGAGAAGCTTTGCTATTATAACAACTGTTGTAATCCTTTATGTTGGTTTTGGGTCGATTAGAAGAAAGACCCAGAGAGAAGTTGGATTGATTGCATCACACAATCACTAGTCCATTTATCACTTTTAGAAACCTAAACATCATACCTAAATATGATATGGAGAAGGCAAAATAAAAAAATAAAAAAAATCTTTTGATTCATTGATCTTCAGAAAAACAAATAAACAAAGTTTTATTGTTGAGCAATAGAAAACTTCATAGAAAGTTAAACCCCCACTGTGCAATAGTGCTCCTATATGTCTTCATCTACATTTTTTATCAGAAGATTGAGAGCTAACTGTTGAGACTTTGGATTATAAGGACACATTGCAAATTGGTTCATACTTATTTGTTGGTGGGGCAACAAGTTCATCTCACAAGCCAAAAGATGATGCTGAAAGTTCTATTAATTCGTTCATACTCCAAAAGACAAACTTACAAACTTACATATGGCTGTAATGTAGCTTAAACTGACTCTTAGAAGGCACTAAAAAACTTAAGAAATAGAGATAACAATGAGTCTTGAAAAACAAGAATATTAAGACCTTTGACTGACTTCTGACTTTACATTAAAACTCTTGGACTGATACATTAACCTCTAAGTAGTGATATTAATACGACTGGACTGTTAGGCTAGACCATAGTCCCACATTTGAATCATATTGGGGTATTTGGGTGTAGATTCCTATCTTTACAGTTTGATAGGCTGTTCAAGGTGGCTACAACCTATCTACTTCAGATCACAACTTATTTGAACTTGACAAGTTGGCCAAACTGCATAAAACATCAAATCTGTTATTGGTGCTTTAGTGGTGCCCTTTCACGCTGAAGTGGGTCATCATTTGCAAAATTTTCTGTTGACATCATACTATAACTGAAACTTCTTTTGGATTCTCTGAAGTAGATGAAGTCAAATGTTTCTATCTTTGTTGAAAATTAGTGCTTCTATTTTGAACTGACTGGTGAAGGTGCTTCTTGATTGGATTCTTGAAGACCGCTTCTGGTTTTGAAGCAGGTATGCCGCTTCTAGATAAGGGCCGATGCTTCATGAAACCATGGTTCTAATTGGCATAGATCCTCATGGATCAGATTGAAGCAAAATAATATGATGAGGAGGTGTAGTTAAATGTTTAGAATAGATTAATACAAATTATAGATCATTGTATTACATCTCTCTCCCCTTCTATGTCTCTTTTCTTTTTCTTTTCCAAATTTTACTAAGTCAATATGTTTTGTCATGGTGTATGTTTTCTTGTTTTCCCATTTATGATTATATCTTGCAGGCAGATCCTTACTTGAAAGGTGAAGTAATGCCAATGCAAGACCGAAATCTCTACAGTTCAAGTGATATGAACTCAAAAGTTTTGGCTGTGAAGGAGGCTGTTTACAGCTTGAATAATCTGGAAATGAAACTAAAGGTATGCACATGCATTTCTCTCACTTTACATATGTATATGCAACTTAATTTTTTTACTTTACTAAACTGTAACTCTTAGCCATTCGTTATCTGAATCTAATGGTATAGAGAGTTGAGTTGTTAATGTGACATTTGAACTTCTGATTTGAACCATTTGATAAAGATGAATGAATGGGCCAAAATTTAAGTTACAAGATCTCATTCCTCTATATATATATATAATTTTACATTGATCACCGCAGGAAAGGATCCTATCTCAAACATGATGCTTTCTATGTTATTTTGCATACTGATCTATCTGAAAAATGATGTTACAGGCTAATAACAGATACTTTATGTTTTTCCCTCAGAAAATGTTTGATGATTACTATTACCCCTTGGTGGCCTATTATTATGTATAGAAATTATTTGTTCTTTCACATGCCATTTTGTGGTTCAGATGGACTGTCCGATTATTTATTTTATGTAAATAGGCTCCAAAGGAAGCAGTTTTGCAGACCCGCATTTTAAATTCTCTGCTGTGGGCGGATAAGGAACCATCCTTAGATTGTGAAGAAGCTTTCATTCCATCATTACCTGAGCGTGTATCCTTTGCAGCATTTCAACCAGTATCAGGTGAGTGTATCTTTTCCTTTCTCACTTACTTCTCTTGCTCGCTGCGCTCCAAGTTATATCATGCTAAATGTCTCTTGCTTGAAGGTTAATCACATTAGGCAAAACATTAAAATCAAAAGAAACAAATAGTCATGCTTCTCTCTTCACAAAAGAAAGCATTACTCTTTTAATATATTGTTACAACTTTTGGCTGATTTGCAAAATTTAATTTATAAATTAAAAACTAACTCATATATGTGGTTTAGATTATATCTGGCATGAACTATTTTCAATGCGCATTAATCTTCCGGGCCGATGTGATCTTTACCTTGAAAGTATGTTATTGTAAAATGTCATAGTAAATTTAAGTGTCACTTATTCCAGGTTATCTACCTTTCTTCATTTATGAAACTTGTAAAAGATAGAGCCATTAATTTGGCAAATATAAGTTGATCTGATTCTGTATTTGTTTCTTGGACAGGAGCAACTCAATCAGAATTGCTGAAGTTGCAGAGAGAGAAAGTAACAGCAATGGATTTAAGAGACACTAAACGAAGGCTAAATCATTCACTACAATTTCTTAATGATAATATTTCACTGGTAGCTGCCAAGCTCGCTATTCAATCCTTAGAAATCCAGTAATCTATGGGAGGGAGGCATGTACAATATTAAATAATTAAATTCTTTGACAAAACTGATAATTAAGATTAAAACTTTCATTTGCATTGACAATCACAATACATTCGTTCATGTTAATAATTATTGAAAAGATCAACCATCACATGGTAAAAGAGCAGGAAAAAAAAAAATATAACATGATCTTTCAAGTTTAAATTAATGGTAAAAAAAATAAATAAATAAATAAAGATCTACCATGCTTTATGATGCATTTATTAGTCATGTTATATTGGGTATCTTCTAACATTATCTTCTCCAACTTAAGCATTCGAAAAGCGCGATAAACAAGTGATGGTCTGTATCATATACACAATCAACTTATTTTAACCTTTCTAATGACAACTAAAGCCAATTATATATTTATATGGCATCCAACAACATATTAAGCTATTTTTGCTTTTATACAACTTTAAACCAAATAATTATGTCTAAAATTTGTATAAGTTAAAAGATTAAAATTTTAAACTTTGTTTTTATTTAAAGGATGAATCTAATTGTAACATCTAATGATTTACTAATTACACTCTTAAAAACCCAACAATTTATATATTTATAATATATAACTTTAGATCAGACTAAATTATATAACACTCAATAATCTAACATTTAATAGTGTGATTTAACAATTTAATTAAATCATGTTAGATGGTGTTAGATTTGGTAGTCTAGACTCTAGTGTACTCAGACTATTTTTGTTGTTAATATTTTTCATTAGTGTTAGGCTTTTAAATAAAACCTTGACATTTTGAACATCAAAATTAATAAGAAAGACTATATATAAGAGATCTCAAGTTTAAAATTAAATGAGTCATCATAAATAATAGCCCGATTTTCATAGGTGAATTGAAAAATAACTATTTTGAAAAGTCTAATTTCTCATGAAAAGAAATATCTCTCTTGTCTTTGGGGTTAGTTTACGGCCGTTGGCTTGCCTCGAATAAAATCCAATGCAAGAAGGAAATATCTAGTGCCAATCTGCAAGCCGCATAGACAGGTAGACAGAGAGAGAGAGAGAGAGAGAGAGAGAGAGAGAGATATGGGGCTGGCCTCAACCCCCTTGTTTCCAGCATCAGCATCACCATCATTTGTCAGAACCCCATTTCACCGCCGCCTTCACTTCTTCTCTACTTTCATTTCCACTCCTCAATCTGTACGTTCTTTCTATTTATAATAATATTTCTTATTGTTTTTTCTTTCCAAGTTTTTGAGCATTTTGCTGCTTTAGCCCTCAAAATGGGATTTCAATTTATAATTTACTTACTCTTTTGATTATTTATGTTCTATGTGCTAGTTGCCCTTTATGGCTAAGCCTTTTTGCACATTGGGAAAACTGAAGACTAAATTACTTTCTAAATAATTCCTAATAACTGGGAAACTGGAAGACACATGATAGTTATCTGCTATTTAGACCCGTTATGTGTATCATGGAATCTATGGTAACCGTAAGTTAATGCACATATGCCACCTAGATTTACAGTTTAAAAACCATCAATCTATTTATTCTAAACATAAACGAGAAAAAAAAAATCTGTCTGCGTAACATGTGTATATTTTTGTATTTGCTTAGTTTTAGCATTGAAACTTTCAATAGAAGACATGATGATATAACCCTTGGAGAAATATTTTTGTATTTGCTTAGATAAAGTTTGTATTTGTTTGTACAGTATGGTCGAAATTCAATAAGAGTTATATTGGTCGCTACTAGTGAAGATGGTATTTTAACTGCCTCTGATATTGTTTGTTGATATTGTTCACCTCTGTGATAATGCTGGTGAAGTATGCTGTTTCAGTTTTGACTTTTTGTTATGATTATGCTGGGATGGATAAGGGAGTTTATTTTTCCATGTTATAGTAAAAGAAATGAATTTAATTGTCCTGCGAAGGAAACTATGGTTTAAATGCTTGCCTTCAAACTTCAGTGAATGAAGGTCCCCTGTGACAGTATCATCATTTGACAGTTTGTCTGAATTTTGCCTGAACGGCAGCAAGTTATACCAGAGTCATTTAAGTAATGCTAAACATGCAAATTCTTTTATACAAATTGATATGACATACTATTTATTTTCATTAACTGTACTGATTATTTCCCTTTTAGCTTTCCATTCATTATGTGCTGCATAGCTTGTAAAATAAAGTTTGTAAGTGTAGTACTACCCCTGTCATCTTCGCCTGACCTCTCCACACCACACGAAAAAAGGTCTCTGTTAAAATTGGCTATCGCCTTTCTCTCTGGCAACCTTCACATACAATTGTCATTCCACCACAGCTTTCTTCGCTGTGTTGACACTAAGACTCAGTGCCATGAACATTGTGCTCCAACAAACAAAATCCTCTTATCATTCAATAATCACAACCACATTTTAACATAAAACCAGTGCAATTTGACCCATAACATTAATTATTCCTTGTTGTTTACATCATTGCAGTGCAATTTGACCCATAACATTAATTATTCCTTCTTGTTTACATCATTGCAGTGCAAATGCATGCAAATAAAATTCCACTTTAGTAATCATCAAAATCACTAACACCTCATGTTCTAAATTTATTATATTAATGTCTTTATTATTAAAAATAACATTCTTTGGGAAATATTATTCTTCAAATATAATTTACTACAAATGAATCATGAAGACCTGGATATAGACCCTTATGTTATTGCAAGGTTCCCTCATGTGTACGCAATGTTGGTTAGTTTAATCTTACTTACTCTATTATTTGTACAATATTTTCTCAGATTGCTGGGAAAAACAAGTTTTATATATAGCAATCGTGTTTCATACATGATGAACTTTATATGAAAAATTATTTATAGTGGAACTTTTTCTTAATTGGTTATTTAGAAACTTATAGCTTCTGACTGTGAAGCTTCAGTTTTTGTTCAGAGGAAATGCAATATAAATTTTACAAAATGGCATACAAGGAATACAATGTTCAGAGTATCTTGTAGTGCAGTGGAAGTGGAAGATGACATAAATGACGAAGCATGTGAGTTAGTTAGTGGAGCGGAGCTTTCCATTGGGGAGGGTCCTGACTGCATTCGAGCTTATCTCTTCAAGGCAGTGAAAAATAACAATGGAACTGGTGTTCTTTTGCTTTCTGATATTTTTGGTTTTGAAGATTCTTCCACCAGAGACTTTGCATATCGTGTTGCTTGCAATGGATACAAGTATGCTGCTTAACCTTGAAATATTATATGTATATCCATTTTCACATCTTTCTGCCTTGTGAACATCAACAGCTGTGTTGAAAACTCTGTTTGTTGTTGATCAACGTGCATGCATGTTTCAAGTTCTCCTTTTTTATGAACTTCAGTTTGGGTCTGTTGGTGTTAATTTATATTCTTCCACTCATTATTGTTCTCCCTTTTTCAAAAATTCTTAGTCTGTGCTACCTTCTGTTTGTTGAACAAATATGCAGTATTCTTGTTCCAGACTTATTTCGTGGGGATCCATGGTCAAAGGACCGGCCTAAGGCCATGTTTGAACAGTGGATGGCAAGCCAAGATGCCCAGAGGATTGCAAAAGACATTGCCACCTCAACGAAATGGTTGGTTGATGAATTTATGGCTGCAGGAATTTCAAAGAAGCTTGGTATAATTGGTTTTTGTTTTGGGGGTGGCCGAGTCATAGAGGTTCTAGCTCGGGATCAAGGTTCTTGTTTTGGCACTGGGATCTCCTTTTATGGAACAAGGATAGATCAATCTCTAGCATCTAATGTCAAGGTACCTGTCTTGCTCATCTCAGGGGATAATGATCCTCTTTGTCCAGTTAGTATCTTAAAGGATATTGAGAAGAGGATTGGCAGGGGATCCAGGGTGGTGATTTTTGAGGGAAGAGGTCATGGGTTTGCTCATCGGCCTCTTTCTCCGGAAGAAGATGTAGATGCAGAACAGGCTTTTACAAAGATGAGAAATTGGCTGCACGATGGTTTGGCTGTAAACAATTAAATGCTTTGTATGTTTATTACAATCTTAATGTATATTTCATCTTACTGGTAAAGCTAATGCAGCTATTGCTACTAGTAGTTTATCATTACTAAGTGCAATATTTAATCTTATGGTTCAACTATTTACAGCATCCGGATCAGGAAAGAATTAGTAGTATTGTTTAAGACGAAAGTCCAGATCTGGGTTAATGTAGTATTTAATATGTGATGTGTTGAAGCTTCAAGAGATGGATTATGAAAGTAATCCGAATTTCATCTTATATTTGCTAATTGATTAATAGTTGAAGAAGTATATGTCCCATGGCCATTGCATAAGTTTAAGGTTCGAATTGGAGATTGTTATAAGCATTGTTTTAAAACTTGGCCCGACTGGCCTGTTCAATCGGGAGGTTATCAATTTTACTATTCATCTCAAATCCTAGAAATTAGGATGACAATTTGTGAACAATTGGTGGCTGGAATGTTAAGGCTTTTGAAGAGGAAGGGCCAGTGAGTGGAAAGGTGGCAACGTAGTTGATTTTCGTGAATGAAACGATCGAAAATCAGGAAAATAAATCGGCAACAACAATCAATAGTTGTCACCAATTGACAAGGTGAACGGAGGAGATGGATTTTGGTCAGGAGGCTAAGGGGAAAGTTTTCGTGGTGATGGGTGTGTTTTGAACACCAAAAACATATCCTATTTGGCCTGAGTTGTTGACGCCAACAATGTAATATGATGTGTTTTTGTAGGATTTCAAACCTATAGGGACTTATGTTAATTTTTAGGGGTGTTTTTTACTTAATTTCAAACTTTTTTACATGCTAACGTCGCCAGTTTGACCCATCGGTCAAACCGATTCAACCCGAGCCAAGACCCAACCACTTTGCAAGGTTTCACCTCGGACCAGGTTTTAAAACCTTGGTTATAAGATTAGAATTTGTATTGCATCATATTACATAAGACTAACTATAGTTTATTCTTTCAGTTCTTTGCTTTTTTCAAAAGGCAAAAATGCCTGCAGATCTATATTATTAGTTAATTACGGAATGGAAAGAAAAACAGAATCCACGAATTTGACTATCAGAGCCTGGAATTATGACCACCATAAGTTTTTCCGTCCGTCAAAATATGTAATATAATTCTGAAAATGTAAAGTGTTCTGCTCTTATGACTTCACCTATTCGCCAAATGCAAGTGTTTAAACTCTTTAAAGATGGCACAGAGCTTCTACTTCACAATGTAATAAAAATTTCTAACTTTAAATTAGCGAAGTTACCATTTCTGCATCTACTGTAAATTTCACGCTAGTAAGAATGATCACCGGACTCCATGAAATTAAAATTTCAAATCTCCATACCAGGAAAAGGAACTTGTAAGATCATGGTAAGAGTTCCTTCAATCCAACAACCAAAATTGGATATAAAATACGGATGTCAGAAAATTCAAGGCTTTAACCTAAAGCAATTATTATTCTCTTTTTTCTGCCCTTACCAAATTTTTTTACTCAGCAATAAAATTACAACTTGGAATTGGTAACAGTACTGAAGAAGTTTTGCAGTACATCAGATTAACTGGTTTTATAAAAAACAATGTTTGCACTACATATTCAACGGTTGTTCACCGGAACGAACCAACAACATTCTCAACTGAAGAAAAAATGTGATTCCAAAAGCAATCAACACAAGGTTTAACTTCAAAATATCAATTTATTCCTGTCCATCCTGCAAAAAAAAAATTATAACAAATTAACTTTATTAAAATTTTTAATAATGAACAAGACAGTCTCAGTCTAAAACCCAATACAATTAACCTTTTTATCAGGGTTGGAAATTTCTAGGGCTGGGGCCGGGGACCTTCATCTTCAGCCCCACCCCCAAAAAAAACAAATCTCCTCTATCCTCAGCCTCAACCCCAAATGTTTGGGAGGAGGCTGGGGGCAGGTGTTCCTAGGGAGGGAAATGCAATACCCACCCCAGCTCTGTGTTCCAAAAAGATGCTACAAATTCAATCACTTCCATCTCTATCAAATTGTAAGAATTCTAGTTTATATTACTGCTTCATCTCCAAATTGTAAGAATTATAGAATACATATAAAGGAAAACAAGATTGAAAAAGGAAAATTCACTTGTTAATAATTCATTAATTAATAAGAAAAAATAATTGAATTTAATATTAGGTTAAGAAAATAGATGAAGATAGAAAAATAATAAGAGATTTGATAATGTATTAAAAAGAGAAAACAAGAAAACAAGCATTAAGGAACATAAAAAATAAAATCAAAGGATAAGAAGAAAAAAGAATTTTGAAAAAGGGACATGCAAATTAAAAATAAACCATTAACAACAAAGGTGTTGAGGTGAAGAAACAGATAAAAAAAAAAAAAAAAACTTTTGAACCATGAACAGCGAAGAAAAAAAAACAACAAACCTACAAATCTAAGAAAACAAACCCTGAACAAGAGGGATGAAAATCTAGACAAAATTCCTATTTTGAACATTTCTGGTAGTTGGAGACAAGGAAGTTAACAAAATTGGACGGCCAAGTAGTTAAGAGAAGAAATAATAGTGTAGAAAATCATCAGTAAGCGAAAATAAGAGGGAAAAATGGGTAGGAGAACTGATGTACTTAAGGGTTAGGTTAGGTTTAGTATTTATATTTTCTTCTTTTTTTTAGAAAAAATATAATAATTTAATATATTATACAATTTTATAGGACAGGCTAGGAACAGTTTTTTTGCAGATTCTCACTTTCACTTGCCCCGGCCTTGGTTCCAGGGCCATGAATTCCCCCAACCCCAACCCAACTCCAGAATTTTCCAGGGATTCCCCACCCCACAGGATCCAAGATTTTCCCAAGTACCCAACCCTACCAGGTTTTTCTACCAACACTATTTTTATTTTTAATTATGAAATAATTGATAGAAAACGATACCATAGTCAAATTACTGCACATTTATAATTCTATAACTAACACACCAGTATGTAGTCATTATAAATTGAATCCTGTGAGCATGGACTACTTCCTAAGTGAACATTGGAAACATTTGCATGCTTTGTTTTCTAACCATTATTAATGAATATTTTATTGATATGTGGCAAACGAAAGAACATATCTTAACTCTAAGGATGCTAGTCACTGAAAGTTGTTTCAGTGGAAACTAATTCTGTAGATATTGAAGTTATCATAAAGAGATTAAAGACATAATATAAAGAATACAAAAGAAAATATCAATCACAAAGAGGAAGACCAGCATGTCATCAACTGCAACTCCCTATGTTAGTTTATTAGATGTTTGATTGATTTTATTTGACTTCGCCGATATTTTATCATGTAAAAATTAGTGACATTCTGATTTCAGGATCACCAAAGATTATAAATATCTTTTAACTTTTAGGATTAATAAATTTTAAAAATGTATAACTTATCTAGTTTATTATTGCAAGAATGAACTGTTTATGTTCTATTTCAGTTCTCTTACTATGCACTTTTCTTCTTCCTTGATCTTTTTCAACAACTCAAAGCTCAATTTACAGTTTCTGGGTACTTTTCACTTCAAAAGTTTTCAACCTTTCGCCCTCAACATATTTCTTTTGACATCTGAATCAAATCTAAAATCTCAAACCTCAAACCCTTTTTCTGCATACAAAATTGTGAATCCCCAATTTGCAAAACCGTCTCACGCATTACCAACCAAATTGCTTGCTATAAATAATGGATTTTAAGAGTACCAATAAGACTAAAGAAAGGAAGATAATGAAATGTGAGTAGAACTATTAACTAAGTAGAGAAGAGCAATTCTAGAACGGATACAAGTTGTACCAAGTTAATACACAAATCATCAAGCATACAACTTTAAGGAAGCATAAAAAATGTTTAGAACCACTATTATTTCATGATTACATAATGCAAAGACTCATCTCATTTACAAGAAGCTTACTTAAAATGAAGACTACATCTATAGCTACTATACATTGTACCAACCAATGTGTGTGTGTGTGAAAGAGTGAGAGAGAGAGATAAACAGAGACAAATATATAACTCATAAATAAAATCTACATGGAGAACAAGTACATAACCCACCGTCTACGGAGACACAGAAACACATGCAAATATGTAATAGTAAGACCTACCTGAGGAACTGGAGTATCAGAAAGCTTAGGAGATGCCAATTTTGCAGGAGACCCATCAAAAAGACGAGAACAGTCTGTGTAAGCAGATCCAATGCCCACTCCAGCACCAAAAGCCACAGATGCCCAGCGTGTCACCGGACTCCCTGGAATAAATCCATGATCATTCAAAATTTATTAACTTGGGGAGGGCAAAACTATCCACTTAAAACCAGCAAAATGCTTAAGAATGGAATTTCTTTTCCAATGCCAGGGCCAAAGTATCCAGTAATTGAAACCTAGGAAAACTTTGTCATGAATTTTAAATTCTTTTGATTCAATGTCATTATTTCAGAAATTGCAATAATTAGATTGTTTGCTTCTTCAAATGCAGCTGGACTCAAACAGAAAAACTAAATAGATATTACTTACAAAAAAATATTAATGTACACACTTTTTTATGTGACAAAAGCTTATATCCAAAACCATGTCACTGGTCAGTATATTTTATTATTTGATGAAAACATATGGAAAATGAAGATGCAGACAGCAAGAAATTCAAGGGAAAAGAAGATTAAAGAAGAAAGCCATTATACAAATTGTGCAAGTTGCTGACCTTGTATTTTTAATTTTATTTTTTCTTATTAAAGGCAGTGAGAACCAATAAAACATATCAGATTTAAGGAAAGAAAAATGGTTCATGTTAATTAATAATTTACGAAACTCAATTAAATTGATAAAAATAAAAAAGAATCGAAATAAAAGAGAAAAGACTGACGGAAGAAAAGGAGACCACTGAAAGCTCCGGCGAGGGAAGAGTAAACGAATCGACGGACGGTGAGATCGATACACGCATCCCATTTAGCGTTAACATCGTACTTTGGAGGTACGATTTCCTTGCTGTTCTCTTCGCCCATTCCTTTTAAATTTTACCTGTTTGATTTTGATCTCTCTTCTGTTACCGAGGGTTTTCTTTTGCCTTCTTAGCTCCTTCCACCACCAGTATGTTTTGTCTGTGTGTTTTTCTCTTCAGAAAGAAACGAGTGTTGGGCCTCAGGCCCATTGAGTCTATAACACCCCCTCATGATCCACCTATCTATCAATAAAGGCTTTATTACTTGTATTTCATTTTCCCCCTTACGTGGTAAACTTATTCGCTTCCTTTGAAAGTATTAAAAACACTTATAGTTATCAAAAATTCTCCTAAAAATATCAAAAACACCTTTAGAAATATCATAAAACCTCTTAAAAATTAACAAAAATACCTTATCAAGGGGTATTTAATACTTTCTGAACAAAGCAGATGATTTTAATTCTAAGNTATTCGCTTCCTTTGAAAGTATTAAAAACACTTATAGTTATCAAAAATTCTCCTAAAAATATCAAAAACACCTTTAGAAATTTCATAAAACGTCTTAAAAATTAACAAAAATACCTTATCAAGGGGTATTTAATACTTTCTGAACAAAGCAGATGATTTTAATTCTAAGCGATCTCATAAGGGGAAAATATAAAAAAGAAATTTCTGAACCTCAGGATATTTCTATGAACATTGCCCGACATTGGGTTGTATCATTAAATATAATGGATAAAAGGTATAAATGTAAATGCAGTTATAATGTATAATTAAATAAATAAAAAATGAGATGGAAAAGATTTTGGTTGATGTTTCTGGTTTGCATAAGGGTATGAATAATGGTTTAAAAAATGGGTTTCTTTATATAAAAAAAAAAGGGTTTTCTCATTAGGGTTGAAATTTGGTGAAATGGCTTACTATTTCATTATTTCTGGTTACGTGTTTTTTATATAGTATACACATTTTATTTTGTATATGTTCTAGTTTACATGAGCATGTGAGATATGGTTTATAAGGTGAATTTCATAGTCGGTTTATTCTTAAAAAATTGGGATTTCTTGTTATTTTGTTCAAATTACAAGTGTAATATACATGTCTTTTGTATTTTGTATCTTTTGCGAACTGTTTTTTGACTATTTGGAGGCTTGTGGGGTTATTTGACTATTTGGAGGCTTGTGGGGTTAGTGAAAAATCGAGTAAATTATTTAGGCTGCATTATACCGTGTTTGTATGTTTTTAGCTAAAAGTGATAATTTTTCTGATTGTGTTGAGAGTCAATGTGATTATAATTTTGTGTTCTAATTATTTCTTTGCTTTGTTTTTATAGAGATAGACCCAAATTGTTTAAAGTTTTTATATATTCTAATTTGCAACTTTGCATGAGGATGTGAGATGGTTTATAGGATGTATTTCATATTAAGGTTATTCTTTAAAAAAAAAATGGGGTTCTCTTTAAGATTGTTGTTTCTTTGCTTTGCTTTTTATAGAGATAGACCCAAATTGTTTAAAGTTTTTATATGTTCTAGTTTGCATGAGGATGTAAAATGGTTTATAGGGTGTATTTCATATTCAGTTATTCTTTAAAAAAACAGGGTTTCTCTTTGAGATTGTTGTTTCTTTGCTTTGTTATTACAGGGACATACCCAAATTGTTTAAATTTGAAGTTTCATTGTTCGGGGAACCTTGGTGTATTGAGAACGTGGGCCCTAATATGTAAAGTAGATTGCAATTGGTAGTTGATGCTAAATTGATTAGTTGTGGTCTCCCCGTAAGTATAGATGAGAGATATAATAAAGTGGAAGTTAGCCTACCATGGACATCAAGAACAATTACTACGTTAATGTCACCATAGAGTTACTCCCACTATCAATGTCTCAACCCATACCAAACACATACCCCATTCAAGCTGAATTTGTTGCCAACCCAGCAGTGAGGAAAAAGATAACCACATTTACCAATTTCTTAAATGTGGGACATAAAGATGAAGTTGGGTTTTAAGAAGAATACAAGCTCATCAGGTGATGACGAAAGTGATAATAATGAGCACATGATGGAAGATGATTGCACTTATTAGGCTGCAATCAAGCCAAGCCGAATCGAGTATTGAGAAGCTCGAGTTCTGCTCGATTAGAATAGTCAAAGCTCAAACTCGTTTTCAGGCCTAGTGTTGATCAAATTGATGATGAACCAATTGATGTGGGGTCTAGTGAAGATGAAGCACTTTTAGATTATTACTTAGAGGAAGATAAGTACATTGGAAGTGGTTCCAATGAGGATGAAGGGCTAATAAACAATCTTTCCAAGGATATGAAGAGGAGACAATACCAAGAACAATCTAATAAACAAGTCTCTTCTAAGCTTAAAGTAAAGATGGTTTTCAAGGACTTAAAGCATCTCAAGGAAGTGGTCATTGAACACTAAGTGCAAAAAGGTTTTGAATTGAAAAGGATCAAGAATGAGAGATATAGATTTTCTTGTAGGTGTCCTGCCACTAATTGTTGGTGGAGACCGCATGCATTTCTAATAGGAGGTGAGAAAGAATCATTCCAAATAAAAACTCATAATCCTAAGCACAATTGCCAAAGGGTCAGAACCAATAAAGATGTGATAACTAGTTTGGTATGCAGAGAATATATGAATAGTGTAGAGATAATCTGCAAAACAACTAACCTAACAAGCCCAATTTCACACAGAAAAACACACACAATCAAAACTGAAAGAGAAATCAAGAAACAAGAACACGGATTTTATTGTGGTTCACTTACCCAATATAGGATAAGCTACATCCACGTTGAGCTCCAGAAACTTGGGGCTCACTGCACTAAAGATTGAGTTCAACAACAATACAACCAAGATTTACATCCAATCACTCAAACACTGCGAAACTCTCTCTCACAATAAACTGCAATCTTTCCTATGAGAATACTATACACAGATCCTCAAGACTCAAGGGAAACACAACCCTTAAAACGTGATTACAATCAACCACCCAAGATTACAACCTGTCAAAGAGATTCACAACTAAATCTAACAGAGAATTTCTAAGCTGAAGAACAGTATAAAGAACTGCATTTTTCGTCAAATGAATGCTTGATGTATACTGTTTTGAGGTGGGATAATGCTGGCCATCAGATGCTGAAATCTTTCAATGGTTTGGATCTCTTTATGTGGCAGATTGAGTAAAACGACAGCATTGAACTTAAAGTTCAACGACATCGTTTTTGTGCTTCACATTAACATTCTCCACCTTGAAGCTCCAAAAAACAAAAGAAACCAACCATGCTACTCAGTCGAATTCTCTCTAGTGCAGCTACCTCCCAAGAACCCTTCTTAGCTCTATTGTTTGCTGCTCATTTTATAAACAGTAGGTTCAAACAGTGTTTGAACTTTGTGACAATTACTACCTTTGTGCCTATGTCAGCTAGATTGTCCTCAATTGATATCTTCTTTAGATCTATGATGCCTTTAGCCACTAAATCCCTTACGAAATGGTACCTCACATCCATATGATTCGTCCTTTCATGGTAGGCTGGGTTCCTACTTAGGTGAATTGCACTCTGGCTATCCGAAAACACTACTGTCTCCTCATCAATCAGCTCCACCTCAGATAGAATCCCCTTAAGCCATAATGCTTCTTTGAATACATCTGCTATAACAATGTATTCTGCTTCAGTGGAGGAGAAGGCAACAATGGGTTGAAGTTGGGACTTCCAACTTATGCAATTTCCTCCCAATGTGAAGTAGTATGAGGTGGTAGACTTTCTTGTGTCCCTGTCTCCTGCAAAGTCAGAGTCTACATATCGCACAAGATCAAGTGAATTTCCTCTTTTCTTATATTCCAACCCAACATATATTGTACTATTAATGTATTTCAGTAACCATTTCAATGCTGACCAGTGCTCTATACCTGGATTGAACATAAAACGACTAAGAAGCGAAATGGAATAAGATAGGTCAGGCCTTGTGCTAATCATGGCGTACATGATTGATCCTATCACATTGGCATATGGTATTTTTTCCATTTTAATGAATTCAGTTTCAGACTTGGGACATTGAGTTTTACTAAGTGTAAAGTGACTGGCTAAGGGCATGGATATTGGCCTGGAACCTAACATTCCAAATTTGGATATCAGTTTCAGTAGATAGGAGGACTACTGAAGTTTTAGTTCACAGTCCTCTCTTTTCCTGTCAATGACTATTCCTAGGATCTTTTTAGCACTCCCTAGGTTCTTCATGTCAAACTCAGAATTCAGCCTAGACTTTAAATCATTTATCCTAGTTTTTTATTTACTAATTAGCAACATGTCATCCACATAAAGCAGTAAATACACAGGCATACCAACATTCAAGTCATAGTAAAAGCAATTGTCATATTCACTTCTTTTGAATCCTATACTGGTAATGAACGTGTCAAACCTTTTATACCATTGTCTAGGGGCTTGTTTAAGCCCATATAGGGATTTATGCAGCAAGCTAACATGTTCAGGGCAGTTTCTATCAATAAAGCTCATAGGCTGTTTCATGAAGATTTTTTCATCTAAGCTACCATGCAGGAAAGCAGTTTTTACATCTAACTGCTCTAGTTCTAGGTCTAGGTGTGCAACTACAGATAGCATGATCCTAATGGTTTTATATTTGACTACAGGAGAGAAGATTTCATTAAAATCTATCCCTTCCCTTTGGGTGTAGCCTTTTGCTACAAGTCTAGCTTTAAACCTAGGTGGATCAGTAGGAATCATACCTTCATTTACCTTGTACAACCATCTGCAGTCAATGAGCTTCTGGTTTTTAGGACAGGGTACTAGGGACCAAGTCCCATTTACCTTCAAGGAGTGCATCTCCTCTTCCATGGCAGCTTGCCATTTATCCCTGTCTTTGGAATTTATAGCTTCATCATAGCTATCTAGTTCAGTTCTCTGAATTTCAGCACCTGTAACCAAAGCAGTAAAAACTAAGTCAGCATACGAATACCTTGCAGGAGGTCTAATTTCTCTCCTGGTTCTATCTCTGGTGAGTTGATATTGTGCCAATGACTCCTGTTGTGGCTGATCTGAATTTTCAGTTTGGTCATCATCTGATTCATGTTCCAAATTTGATGTTGCAGGTGTTTGTTCTTGGTTCTCCAGTTCAGTTTGAACTCTAACCTGCTCCACCTTAATTTG